TATCAGATCTGGTAATAAAAAGCAAATAATTATTCATAATTGATACATTGGTGTTTGTCATTATAATATATATATATATGGAATCAATTCAAAATTCATAATGCAATTCTTAATTTATAAATAATTTCTTAATTCATAGGATTTTTTTTTTAAAATTTTATAAAGTCTTAATTTCCTTAATTCATGAAATTGTTTTTTAAAAATAGTTTCTTCCATAAATAATAAACTTTATTATTATTATTATTATACATACATACGATATTTCGAATAAGATTTCTTTCAAATCTGGTCTAATCTGATCCTTATTTCTGCATGTAAAACGAATAACTCAAATCCCATATCATTGGTATTATAAGTATCATCCACTACACGCTCATTGACATTGATTCCTAGTTTTTTTATTTGTTCGAGAATTCCAGTTTCAAATGCCAGTGCACGAACGGGTTCCATTTCCTGTGGCATTTATTCTCCAATAGCCAAATACGTGCAGAATAAAATGCATATTCACAATGTTTATATCGATCTTGCCCTAACTCTGACCACCAAAAGTGGATTTGCTTTTATCTAATTGATATATCAATAGACTCATTGACAAAACATTCATATATCTCTCTTGGGAGAAGATCTATAGAACCCTTCACGCTTTGTGGTACAGATTTATCAATTGGTCTTATATGCAAATTCTTGTGGTGAAGTTTTACTTTGGATATCCATAAAGTCTCGTCGCGGTTTGACTGCTAAGATGTCTTTTTGGGAACAGAAAAACCAACATTTGGTTGTGGTGGTGGTTGTATCCTTGCATATGTATAGGTTATTATAATTCCAGTTGTATTCGATTGATTCAACGATTTTCTTTGCGAATTCTGTGGCTGATAGATTTTGCAACTAATATGCTTACTCGGCAATGTAAACGTAATTCGATGATATATCTTCACTCAAAAAATCAACATCAACAATTTCCCGGTCACTAGGTTGATTATCATGTATTTTCAGAGAACTTTTACGTTTTTGGCAAATCCTTGAAGACAGTTTTACAGGTGCAGTAATAAATATCCATCAAATGGTATTCCATTTTCATATTAAAAAACAACAATAATAATCGCTTGTCCCCTCTTTTAAACTTTTATTTAAAGCTGTGTTTTTTTGTTGCTTACGTTGGGGAAGATCTACTCTTAACTATTTGTGATAATGCAGATGGACAAAATAAAAATAATACACATGTAAGCTCAATTTTATTTTATTTTATTTGGTTTCTTCAATAAAATCTTTAATCGCGAGTACAAATTTATTGCTCAAAAAAATATTTTCATGCATTGAATTTTCAAAATCAATCCAAGTTTTTTTTTTAGAATTGTTTGCCGATTCGAACAATTTTATCATGTGTTGTTGTGGCACTATCTCATCGTTTCTAGATGAAAGAAACAATATCGGCGAATTTATAGATTTTACCATTTCATCATTTTCCCATCTGTTACGAAGAAACAAAGGAATGCTTGCCAAATATCGATAAGGCAACCATTTTTGGGGATATAATTCTATCACCATATCTTTGATCGACGTGAATGTATTTTCAATAATTGCACCTTTGATATCGAATTGAATTTGTGGATGTGATGCTAAGTATAATGCCACCGCACCTCCCAATGAATGCCCGTAAACGTAAATTGGATTCTCTGGATACAAACTTCGTACGAATTTGTAAATGGATTTTGCATCCATCTTTAATCCATCTTCTGATGGTGATCCATTGGACAACCAATATCCTCTATAACCAATTGCAACGATGATTAAATTGGTAATTGTGGACTTTGATGTGGTCGGTAATAGTAGACGATAAAAGATTGGAAGTCGATGGAGCATATTACCGGCATTTCTATTAAATTTCAAAAAAAAAAAAACAAATATTAAATTAAAACCCAAAAAACATATATATATTTTATTCATATCATGTACCCTTGAAAGTATATTAAAACCGGGTCTTGTTTACTGAAATTCTCGATTGCATCTCTAATAATGCTAGGATTTTCTCCTTTTAAACTTTTATTTCGAATAATAATCCCAATCAATTTACATCCATCGTCTGATTTGGCTTCTACTAGTTTACATACCAATCGTTTGTCAATCAACGATTCATCAAATTGATCGTTACGACATCCAATTGGTAAGTAGGGTACATACAAAAATTTATTTTGTAATAAAATAATCATGGTGCTCTGTAAAGTGTAAAATGTAAATGGGTAAAAATTTATTGAAAATTAAAAAGATTTTTAAAAATTAATTTAAAAAGTACCTTCCTTATACACGTATACAAAAAATGGCACACCTAAAACTATGGCAATCGTTGTTTTCCATGAAAAATTCAAAGTATCAGAAAAATTTGAAAGTGAAGAAAAAAAACTTTTTTTTTTAATGTCATGTTTATGATATTTATGATGCTTTTTTATGGTAGAAATCGAATTAAAAAAGCTTTCAGAATATTTTTTAAATCGATTGTGAATGAGATATGTATATTTTATTTTAAATCGTGGACTACCACGAGGAATGTTTAGCAATAAATTTGTCGTGCGTAGTAAAAAAAGTTTGTTCATTATAATTTAAAATTGTAATTCTGGTCGAATTTAGTTTAGAGAAAAAAAGTGGTTTTTTTTAAGATTCCTAATTGAAAAAATTTTTTTTTTAATTCTAATTGTCCAATCAAATTAATCGTGTAACCTGTTGATTACATCATAAAAAAATCAATACGGAAATATAATTATAAAAAATAAAATTTTGTTCTATATAGACGATGGCCACATTTTTTTCTTTATAAGTATTTGTTCTTCTTAAAAATATATTTCTGCGCATAGGTCAGGAAAAAAAAACCACGGGACATGAACAGCATGCAAGAACGTAATTAATTTTTCAAATGATTGAGAAAAAAAGAACAGTAGAATAGAATGGAAAAAACACAGGAGTTCGATACCGTCATATGTTCGAGTTAAATCGTCAAGAGGTTGATTTTATTGGTCCGTATGCTAAAAACATTGTCTATCTATGGAGTTAAAAAAGAACTCGGAATTTATCAATTCATAAGCATAAATTAAGCTGGAATTACGTGTTGATGACGATGATAATAACGATAATAACAACAATAAACAAACGAACAATAAATAAAAAACTCGTTAATGGAAAATTTACGAAGATTCATTCATTCATTCGATTGAAAATATCAAAGAAGGTATCATATCACGAAAGTACATGATGAATCAGAATTTCATTTTTAGTCACTATTGTGAAATATAAAAAAATGCCCATTCTTTTTTCTTCAAACAATTCACGATTAAAAGCATTATCAGTTGGCGAAGAGTATAGAATGACGTTGCGTTTTAACTAATTATATAATATATATATATATATACTGTATAAAAACTATTTATCATGTAATTTCGGGCAACGATCGTCTATATATGATCGAATTGTGGAACCAAAACAAAATTCTAATTTTATTTACGAATTTTCAAGTTAACAGATTTAAGAGAACACTTTTTTTCTTTATTAAAACACACTCTTATAGTAATTGATTTTGATTTTATTGTCAATTGGTAATTCCTAAATTATACAAAATAATATTTAATAAAATTGTTCGTTAAGCCTGCCATGTAATACGCCAACAAATCCATCAACTTCAACACAACAACCCGTTTCATTTAAACTGTTTTTATTGTGAACAGACTTGGATACATCAATACTAATTGACACCACATACGCGCATACTTGCAAACAAATATTGTTTCCTAAATTATTTCAAGGAATTATTTCTGTACCTGTTTTGTTTATAAATATTGTCCGTTAATACGTTCAGCCAGACGTGTGTATTTCCCCTAATTTAAATTATGAATTTAAATAACTCCCAGATCCTTTAATAACACACCACACCACACCACACCACATCACCACACCGTATTATATTTATATTATATAACAAATTATGCATACTTAAAGAAAATTTTATATGCTTATCAGATTCCAGTGATACGGAAATTTTTTCGAAAGAGACGTTTATAAAAATTAATATATGTTTTTTTGGAATTATAAATAGTCAATTCTCTTATCTTTTAGTTGTATTAAAAAAAAATCAATATGATTGTTTCTATTGTCTAAACCTCCAAAAAACAAACCACAAACAAGACTTTTTCGAGTGTTTGAAAAACCAAACAAAAGAAACTTGGCGAATATATTTTATAAATGATAAATTAAGAAAATCACATAAAGCTTATCTATTGTTTTCTTTAAATACGGAAGCGATCTGTTTGTGTATTGATTAAATTTTGATATTATATATTTCATATAAAGACAAATCAATTGTATTGACTTTTTTTCTTATAAATAAGAATCAGATTTCCCCATCTTTTTATACCTTCTATCGTAAGGCAAATAAGTAACTCTTTTTTATCTAAGATAAAATGGCCAGAATCAGCGAATCAAACGAAGTGAATCCTCTTTCTCTAATTAATGTCCCCAACCCACCTCAAAATTTAAGACTTTCAAACTTTATGGGTAATCGCTTTATAAGAAAATACAGGTCACCCAACGCGTTCATTCTCTATCGAAGGGAACTTTTGAACAAATTAAGATCGCGAAATTGCCACATAAATATGGCAGAAGTTTCAAAAATGGCGTCTCGACACTGGAGAAATGAGGACGAAGGAGTTAGAAAGAATTATAAAAAAATTGCAAAGAAGCTTAGTACTGAATACTCAGAAATTCAGTCTAATAATTTAGAATATACATTCGGTGAAGTAATGACGCCTTCTAACTACATTTGATATATTTTTCATCTTTTCATACTTCATATTTCGCGTCGTTAAAAAAAAATTTTCATGCGTTATTTCTCTTTTATTTCCTTTTTTCACATTTTTATGGTTTAAATACATGGTAGATTTTTTTACTTTTTTTCACACCATCTATATAGTTTATCATAAGCAAAAAAAAAAAAATATATATATATGATTAAAATAAATAAATAATTAAGCGAACTGTGCCACTGGCGCAGTTTTTATCATAATGATATTCTTTTATTAACGGCAATCTTTTTTTTATTATTTTATTTTTCAAAATGGGATAATTAATTGACTCGGTTGAATGAATAACAATTATCGAATGCGTGTGCGTGTAACATATGCAACATATACAATATATAATATATAATTTCACATCATATTATCCCTCTTTGATAAAACCAATGCCAACTGCATCTGACAATTGATAAGTCCCGTATAAATTTTACATAACTCATATATATTTTCATTATTCTCCCAATTAATAATTAATATACACACATTAATATGTATTAAAGAAACAGAGCATTGTATTATTATTTCTAAACAGAGTGAGATGTTGTTCTAATTTAATTCATTTTTTTAATTCTTGTATTTATATAATCCAAAAAAAGAGCATTTGTTTTATATTAAAAACCATGTGGATTTAACAATCATATCAATATATTAATATGCATAAGATTTTTAATTGGTTAAAAATCTTGTCAAAATTAGCATGGTGGATATTCTAATGTTACACTTTTTTTTTCATTAAAAAGTATGTGTGTGATAGGAGCAGTTATGAAACATGTGCACCGAACATAAAGTGTCATTGTAAAAAAATTTGTTACACAATTCGAATGTCCAAATATTCATTATGTGGCTAACAATTTAATTAATTTAATTGGTAGCACGTGTCAAATTAGCCACAATCTACGATCAATACAACAAACAATTGATTGATCATTTGTATTTGTCAACATTAATTGTTAGAAATAAATAAATAAATAATAAAAAATTGCATCTCGGCCTTTTTAAATAAATATATTTAAAGCATTAGTTTGTTTCGAATAAAAAGAACGTTAGAAAGAGAACGGGCGAAAAAAAGAAAAAAAATAATTACATAAAAGGGCAATTAAGTTTAACTTTGTACGAGCGAGATTTATAAATCTGTGCATATGTATTTATGTGTGCATATATATATGTGTGCATTTATATATGTGTGCGTTTGTATATTAGCATTGTATATTCCATATAAGTGCGCCGTTTATTTTGATCTTGATTTAATCTTCTCAAACCGCACGCACTCCCTCTCTTCTTTCACTTTCCAACAATGGCTTACTATTCCAATTTAAATCAAGTATGTAACACCGTGTTGTGCTAGTATAATCCGGTTCTTGGCCGTATGTGCACGTTATATAGTATAATATAATAACAAGTTAGACTGTGAGATATGTGTAACGTACAATCGTTAATTTAAAACTTGGGGGTTTTTTTTTATTTTTATATTGTATCTTGTTTTATATTGATTTAGGCGCGAAATCCTTTTATACTTTTATATTATAAAAAATAAGTGATGAGCACTAACAGGTTTTGTGTTTAGGTTATCCGAAAATTTGAGTAATTATTTACATTATTTATTACATATAATCCACATAACAACAGCCACTAATTAATTTATTTTTGAAATTTTAAATTCTATTATAATATAAAAAAAAAGGGCCATTCTAGATCAGCGATAAACATAATCAGATTTAAAAAAAAATAGCTTCGTTCTTTTTTATAATTACTATTTTTGGATTATGGTACAAGGAAATAAATCTCCAATCGACATGTAATCAAAGAGGAAAGATAATACCAATAAGCGCAATTCATAATTGAATTAATAGAGATTATTTAGCCAAGAAAGCTGGAACTCTTATTCTTTTTTACAAAAGGAAAAAAAAAAAGAGAAACTTGACTTTATTAATATCCGAAATATCAGGTTTCTAATATTTTCTTGAATTCCATAAAAAACCCTAAAATTACAATTACTAATTATTAATTTAAAAAAAAATTTTTTTTTTGGGTAGGAAAAATTCCGTTTCACAAAGCTTGATATTACACCAATTTGCTTTTATAAAGGTTTTCCAACTTAGTGAAAATAAAAAAAGTTTCTTTTTCTTTTTTTTTTTTTCAAAAAAAATCGTTTTGTCATTTTGTTTAAATCTTATAAAAACCAAAATAATATTTATATAATAATTAACTGTACAATAAAAAAAACTATTTTCTCTTTTGTAATTACAACCTTTTATTCTTTGACAAAAAATCAAATACACACGCACATATTATAAAAATGACTTGTCAAAAATCAGAAACTTTAAAAAATACTTTTATTCTCAAACGCATCAGTAAGAATTCTCGTGCAATAGCACGTAATAGTATCCGTAAACATAAAAAGAATAGTTCCAATCAAACACCAATAGATCCCGCACTTATAGACAAGCCTCCATTCCCACCAACTATTCCACCTTGTGAACTTGTTTTTAATAGAAATGCCACAAACATCCATAAAAAAAGTCCAAACGTTTTTTTTATTTATCGTAGAGCCTTCGTAAAACACCTCCAAAAATCCAAAATATCGATTAAAATGACCGAACTTTCAAAGGTTGTCAGCTTTCATTGGAATTCAGAACCTCCGCACGTTAAAGAAGAATACACCAGGATTGCTAATGAAGTTGATGATTTGTTAGAAAAACAAAAAAAATCGATTAAAGGATTTCAATTCGTTAACCAAACTGTTTTAACAGCTGAAAAACAAGACAGCGCAACAACTCCTTCAAAAATCATTATTGAACCTAGGAATAAATATAACAGTGTCATTAATGGTGATAATAATAGCAATAGAAATTACAATACTGGCAATAATTATCCAATCCAAGGCTGGATTAACACTTTCAATTACCACGAACAATCAACAACACTCACTCCCTCATCAACAATGCCATTGTCTCCTAACCCTTCGGAAGCTGATTCAATTTATGAACCATTTATTAGAGAAGAATATAATGTTGCGCCAGATAATGATAATTTAGCTTTATATAACGATAATGATATTCAAATACCTCAAGATAATGATGTTTCGATAGAAAATCATCAATGCACTCAATATGATTCCTCGTGTCAAAATTTTCTTGTCAATAATTATGAATTTAGCATAGTTCTCATGCAACAATTATTTGAATATTATAATTACTCTAATTCTTTTGAACAGGATGATTTGAATCAAAGTCAAGATGAATCTTCCTATTCTTCTGATAACTCTAGTGGTATTCTTTTATGATCTGTATAAATACTTTTTATTTACTACCAAAATATATTATATTAATTCATTAAATTTAAACCCTTTAAGCTTACCTTCACAACTCTCATTGTAATTTTTTAAGACATCCATGTAACCTTTTCTTTTCTTATGTATTATTATTATTGTTATGTTAATGTAAGCATTATTATAAAAACTTTATTTATTTATTTATTTATTTTGACTTGCATTGTTAATCTTTCAATTTTTCTTTTTTTATTCATGAAAACAATAAAATTACCTTTTAAAGTAAAGAAATTGACTGTGTGTGCGTGAAAAGATGTTATAAACCTGATATGCAACTATTTAAAGGTTAATTGTTCGTAGAGTTTTAGGCCAAAGAAGTTCTTCTGACATAATTTGTTTTTGATATTATTCTAATAAAATAATTGTTTCTTGTTATTATTCTAAATAAAATAATTGTTCCTTGTTATTATTCTAAATAAAATAATAAAAATAAATTTTCTTTTGATATTTTTTTCTCTGATTAAAAATCACGTAAAAGTGAAATTTTCAGCTAATTCTAAAAAAGGAGCAGCAGCAGTACACTACAGATTTGTTTACTATCAATATTTAAAATATCTAACTTTTTATATCCATTTGTATAGAATATATATGGAAATCCGGAAACACAAAATTTGTTATAGTAATAATTATCATATTACGTGTTTTTCAAAAATTTGGATCTAATTATAGACAAATCTTTTACAAAAATAATATAATCAAATATGCAGACTAAATGACTATTTAACTTCAATTGTTCGGTGATTAGTAGAACACAGTACCAACAATAATAATAACACAATATTTGATTTAAATTATTTAATTGATTCGATATTTAGAAATTTATTTTAGGCCAAAACTTGTTTTAGCAACTTGATGTTTTTACAATTTTTTGTTCCTCCAAAAATTTGTCATTTGTCTTACAATAAACCAGTAGATGTTAATTGTCGTAATAATACTTTTAATTGTTGTATTTTTCTATACGTAATACTAATATTTATTAATATCTATTAATATTTATTAATATTTATTAATATTTATTAAGATTTATTAAGATTTACTAATATTTATTTACTAATATTTATTTACTAATATTTATTTTAATACTTACTATTATTCTTATTTTGATAATCAATTCTCTAAACTCAATTTGATTTAATTAAATTATCATGATTAAAAACATATCTTTGGTGAATTATTGCTTTTCTTTCCCCAAATGTTCTTGGCATCAGCGAGATAATCAATTGATTGAATGTAATTAATTAGTCGCGTTGTTATTGTCGTTATTACTATCGTCATTACTATCATTATCGACATTTTAGTTATTCATTCAGGGCGTGTGTCACGTGGTACTGTTTTATATGTTGTGCAAAACACACTAATACCAAATTTAGAAATTAATTGCTAAATTGATTTACGTCATTCGAGAAACGGCTGCGTCGAATCGAAAAGATTAAAAAATTCTATGTATCGCGTTTAAATATTTTATTTACAAAAAAGCCCATATGGGGCTCTGTTAACAAAGTAAGAGTCTGAGGTTCCTGGCTCAAAATTGAGTTTCTTGCTATTAATTATATATAATTGGTGAAAAAATCAGACCCTGTTTATTAAAAAAAAAAAAAGGATAAACGGGCAACAGCGAATCAATACAATTTCTTTGAAATAAGTTTCATATCGTCTGTAACAATTATTTTTTTTTTTTGATTTTCTTTAGAATAAAAAAATTGACGAGACCCGTGTTTTTTTTTTGTTGGGCCAGTCCTCATATTGTTTAAGTTTTTCCTGATTTTTCCTAAAATATTTTGTATGTGTGTGTATATATATGTATATGTGTATACAATTATTTTACGAAATTTTCCTACTTTCAATATCCAAGTTGTACAATTCAAAGTTATGTAACTCGCACTAGTAAATATAATCAAAAAAAGAAATTGATTTATAATCAAGAATCCACAAAGTTTCAAGAATTGTCAAATACAGGCAAAGCAGAAGTCCAAATCAAGATGATATTCCTTATCAGCTAATAATATCAGTCACACTTTCTAAATTCAGGGACAAATAGTAGGATGGAAAAAGGTAATTTAATTGTATATTGTAGAATAAATCGCAATATATACGCATATATATATGTATGCATGTAATTTATGTGACAGTGACTAATCATGCTTATGGGATTATTAGATCACGGAATTACTGTTTTGCCAAATTGTGTAGTCAATTATAAAATGTACGTATGCATTTGGTGGTGACAAACATTCACTTTACAAAAAACTATTTTGTAAAATAAGTGAATGCATGTATAAATTGTAATCAATCTTACAAATCATACATACATTGACTCAGAGAATTTGAAACCATAAAGTTCATTGTCAATTTGATCAATCAACTAAAATATACAATAGAAATCAAATCTTTTATAATTTAATTATTAGGTTTTTATATTAACCCAAACCAGATTATTAATCAACTCACGAATCGAGAATTAACTGATCTAACCCAAAATATCTTTGTTGTTGTTGTTGTTATTGCGTTAGTCTATATTATTTAAATCTTCTTGCGTGATTTTACGTTTCACGAAAATGTTTAATAATGTACATGTAATATATTTAATGGGGTTTTTTCTAAGTAATAATTCTTCTTCTTCTTCAAATTTACTTTCTTCTTTTGAAGACTTGTGAATAATGCACATTTTTACTATTTATAATTAATAAATTTTATATTCTTGTTTGCAAAATTTGGTGATTTTTTAAAAGCATGAATTTAAACTTATCAATTTATTATTACGATAATATATATTAAAACTTTTGAGCTGAATTTCTCTTCTGTGCCATTGTTCGCTGAAAGATGTGATCATTTATAAAATAGGAATACAACAGATAAAGACGAAAGCACGGAGTTTTTCATCCTCAAAAAAGAAATGTAATTTTATTTTCTATGTAATAATTGTTAATTAAAAATATACATGCCTTTCGTTTGTTTTTTTTTTTTTAACCACACGTGGAGAAATCGAAAAAATAAATTAATTTGTTGACTTTTTTAAGAGATAATTTTTCTTTTTGCAAGACTTTGAAAATTAAATTTGTTTCATCTTTGCTTTCATGTATTTAATCGAACCGAAGATTTTGGTTTTAATAGAAGTGTAATTGGAAAACAAGAAATTGTGCGGCCAGACTCGTTATTAATTTTCTTTATTTTTAGTAACAAATTTTGCATTTACTGATGCCATCGTTCGCCAAAGGAATTAAAAATTTTTAATTATGACGATCTGTGTTACCTCGGCCATTAATATATGATTTGAATACCTTGTAAAGATTCAATAATGAAAAACATATTAAGATGTATTGATATGCAATTATTATCACAAATAAATTACATATTAAATATTTCTAATAAATAAATCCATCGGCTGTGGAATATTAGAATTCTAGAATATAACTTTAAACGGTACAAGTTTTTTCTATTGTATATCACATAAAAAAATCATTCATTACTTCATTATTTACTTGGCAACTCATTGTTGTAACAATTACTTTTGTGTAACAATTTAACAATATTAAGAGCAAATTATTTCATAACTTTCTTAATGTCAATTATCACACAAATAAATGTTGTAATAATTCTTCATCAAGTATTTGTTTATTTTGTAAACAAACAAATAGAACTATTATTAAATTTAACCTCACCTCATTGCATTAAATTAAAAATCAGTTTAAAAAAAAAAAAAAAACCATATAAATACGTAAAAAATTTTGGAAAGCTTTTTTTTTAAAAAATATAGAGGTCATATCCAAACACTCAAACACTCAAACACACACACACAATTTATTTATTTACTATTTATCTATATTTTTAGTTTTCTCTTTAAAAAAAAAACTACTCTAATATTTATTTTATTCATCGTATAATGAGTTGCCAACTACAACTCACTTGTGATGATGATTTCGAGCGACTTTTAAATTCGATGCAAATTTTCCCGATACCACATAGTCGCAGTGTGTTAGACTTGATAAAAACAAGATCACCCGAGAGAATGTGTTCAAAGGTCTCAAATTCATACTTTGTTTACAGAAAAGTAATCAATGATCAATTGAAAGATAGATCAATAAAGCTGTCGATGGCTGTCACTTCGGCGTTAACTAGCTACGGGTGGAATAAAGCATCTCGAGAAGTCAAGCATGCCTACGAACAACTCTCAAAAGAGTGCGAAAAAAATTTGAATTTAAGACGTAATAAAGAATTGGTCTGGAACCCAAAGCCAAAAGAGTCGAAAAACAAAAAAAAATCAACTCGTAAATCAATCAAACACAAATCAACAAAACCATTTACACCATATGGATCCATTCATCTAATTAACTTCGATGATGATGATAATAATAATAATAATAATAATAATGATAATAATAATAATAATAATAATAATAATAATAATAGTAATAATAATAATAATAATAATAATAATAATAATGCTCCTTTAACGCCCGCGCAGAGTGAAGTAGGCATGACATCACCTAGTAATAGCGAATCAAGTTCGTCGGCTTCTCCTTATCAACTTGTCAATAACGAAGAAACGAATACATTCGAAGGCGATGATATTTTATATCCTAATCCATTAAATCACTACAACTACAACTACTATAATAACGACAATGACAATTATAATAATAACAGCGACAACAGCTATAACAATTATAATTATAGCGACAACAACGTTTTTTTTTCGCCAAGCACGCCTACAAGATCGGATTTTCAACCCCCCCCTATTAACGAACAATTTTTGCCACATTGTTATTGGTGTAGTTCCCCTCCAGATAGTGCGTTGATTGATTTTTCTCTACAAAACACTGACGTCGCATCATTACAAAATTACTCTGATTATGACAATAGTCTGGGCATCTCTTTTCCTCTCTTTTCCTCGCTTTAATTAATTAATCAATTATTATCATACTTTTTTCAATATTTATTATTTATTTACTATTTCACAAGATTTCAAAAATATTTTTTTAAGGAAACAAAATTTATTTTTTTATTACTATTGTTTATTATCATCATAACAATACAATAACAATAAGCAAAAAATATGTTAAAAATTATTTCAAAAAGTTTTTTTTCATTCGTAAAATTATAAAATTGTGTGTGTATATATATATATATATATATATATAAATAACATTACAAACATAAAACAATTAATGACTTATTAATTCCATTTTATTTATCTCTGATATAATAATTATAAATACAATTTAAGTTAACAACTCAAGAAAAAAAGGAAAAAAAGTTTGGTGTCAAATTAAGTAACTATAATAAAAAATTTAAGAATAATAATATGCTTACCACTAAATAAATAATTTCTTGTTACATTATGATAGTGCTGTTCTGTCCATGACTCTACACATAGTTGATTTAATAGATAAATAAATATTTATTACTTTTTTAATAAACATAATGATTATAGTGATTATAGAACCCTTCCTCTTCTCATCGGATGGAACTGATGACGAAGCCAAAGTTTAGATTCTTTCGAGCCTACCACTTGGATTCTTTGGATTGTTCAGACTATTCATAAAGTTCTATCGGGTTCATAAATTCTAACCGACTAATTGTCTTTATGTTTATAGACAAAGAAATCTTTTACTTGAAGAAGATTCGGTTCATCTGCTCCAGAAGATTTGGTTTTATCGTTTTACTTGATGATGATACAAATTCAATTTTGGCTGTTTCACTTGATGATGAAGATTTAATTTTGTCTTTTGTAATATCAGCAGAAGAATTATAAAGTGGTGGTGGTAGGAATCAGATTTACCGTGCAGATCATAATCAATTAATTGTTAACAATTGGCCAGCTTCAAAATACTAATCTTTAAAAAAGTTTAGCCGAGAGGTTTATTGTTCATGACAAAACCTATCGGCTAATTTTTGGCTGAGCCTTAGCATTTTGAAAATTACAAATTTTGTTTATACACTGAGTAAATTCCGTGTAACAATTTTTTTATAGAATATATTTTTATTTCCTTTTTTATTAATAAAATAAAAAAAGTTTTTTACATGTGCCCCATCTTTACTTAGAAGTACAAAAATGGTTATTGTGTACGTTAAGTTTATTATGTAACTGAATAAATTGGCCAGTATGTAACATGGGACAAAAACCGTCTCCGAGGCCATCCCTGACCAAATTTGTGTTTATTGATGTATAACAAAGATTGTAATTGGTGAAAATATTATATAGACTGCATAATAATAATTGTTTATTTTTGCACATTACAAACATACAGTCCAAGTTCTCTATAATGAACCAAGATGTTGGTCCCGATTTTTATCAATTAAATTTGCTCTGTATAACGAACTTTATAGTTAAATTCTCCACTCTGTATAACGAACTGCCTTTTATGGCAAAAATCTGCTAAAAATTTATTAGTGTTGATGAAAGCATTGTTTCCTAATAATAACGATGATGATAATGATATAACTGAAGTATCACATAAAGATAGATAGATGCCTTGTTGACAATAGAAAAAATTACACTTTGAAAAAATCATGATTAACAGATAATGAATTGATAAATTCAAAAAAACAAGCGAAAAATTTATATATTTTTGTGAATACATATATATACATGTGGGCGACATATAATCATACATGGGTTGCAGCCAATAAATTATATGTATTTGCAATTTTATTCATAATTAGAGAGAGATGTGAATGTTATATAGCATTTATGGTTTTTTATAACAGATTTATAATAACAAATGATCGTATTAATTGTATATAATAGAATTCTTTACAAAAAAATTTTCTTCCCAAATCCACCTTTAAATGCTGGAATACCAAAGAAAACCAGATATGCTTAAATGTATTATGGTCAGATGAACCCATAAAGGATCCTACTACGTAGTGATCTGCTTTAAAAATGAGGTTCCAGTACTTTATGAACTTGCTGATAAACTTATGTCAATTCCTGCTTTGTTGAAAGAAATTGGTGCCATTTTGGCTTTGTTCATAGACTAACTGATGACAGAGTTTTTGGTTTATATATATTCAAATTTTTGTTGAATGACAAAGTTACAAATCATGATATAATTTGGGAGATGTAAATATTTTGATGAAGATGAAAATGAAAATGAAAACGAAAATGAGAATGAAATGAACATGATGATGATTTTTAGCTTATACTTTGTGCTACGTATGACTGTTACATTGTTATAAAGAAATTTATAACATGTTATATTCCATCACTAGAACGCTCTCTATACCGAACGAAATTTCTCGGTACGTATAGAGAGAGCTTTGACTGTCTGTACGTTGTAACCAAAATTTGTAGGGGTTAGTGAAAATACACATCAATTCCAACAAGATAGGCATCGGATAGGTAGGCATATTCATAAGAATGATGTGTTGCTTATCAGTCACATAGGGTTTATCCATGCCGTCGATGTTAATCCGGATATCCGTAAAAAAATCCGTTCATATTAATATGATTAATATTTTTTAGAAAGTCAATAAGCGAGAATTTAATAATAGTGGTCCCCTTGATTTGGTGAAATTACAAAAAAAGGTATCCTCTTGTAAAACTTGATCACTAATATCTTTCTATTTCAGCAACTTCAACATCAAGTGAAATATTGTTCAACCATGGAGGGAATTTATTGGCTGTTAAGATTATTTAGAGTTATTTAATGAACATTATTTTTAAAAGAAATGCAAATTGTGTTGAATCTATTCTTAGTTTCATAATAAATATCTGACGGATGTAACCGAGTGGTGAAGAAATGACAGATGGAATTTTGAGGTAAATAGTAGATGAACAGACAAATGAACGGTCATTTCCGAGTCTCCAGTGATAGTAGCGATAATAATTTCCGTGAATGCTTTAAAACATTGTTATTATGCTGTGAAACATATGCTTGAGGTAATTCATTTATTTCGTTTCTCAATTGGAGGATTATTATCAATTGATGTTGATATTGATATTGGCGTTGGCATTTGACATTGTATTTTGTTTATAATTTAAATAGCCTTGCAAAATAGCAATGGATTGTGATATTTTGAATTCAACATTAACAAATTCAATTTTTCGGTTAATAAAAAATCATAATTAAATCATGCACATTATCAATTCTTGATTTCATTGTAATTTTTTTCAACTTAATATCTGTTATTTTTTCTAATTTAATTCTTATTCTTTTCACTTCTACCTTTTCACTACTTGATCTGCCTTTGTTTCTTCCGGTGTATTATCATCCAATCTCTCTTTAAAATAATTTTAAGTGATTGGTTTTTCCTACCTACAAATTTTTTTTAATTAATAAAAGCTCTTAACCAATAATCAAAATAATTCACTACTAATAGCCACACATACCATTAAATTTTCCTGGGTTTTAGAGTTAGAATCAGAAGATTTTTCAGGCACTTAATTTACTTTCTTTAAAACTTTACTGCCAGTCTTCGATGCTTTAGATTGTCTCTTCTTATTTTTTGTTGAATATAAGTGATTCTTTGAGCTATTTTTGTATTTGTAAATTTTCTTTGTTTAATTTTAAAAGACTTTCTTCTGGAACCCGTTCATTTCACTGTATATTCATCAATGTAAATATTGTCACCAGTCATTTTATAAAATTATAAAAGCTTTGAAAAATTGTGGCTATGTTTTTTTCATCCTTTATAATGCCCAGTTTCCGACTTTTGATTCGTTGAACCTAAAAGGTTCAACTTTTAATATATATCTAAAATCAACGAAGGATTTTGTCAATAAATAAATATACATTTTGATCTGATAACATATATATTACATTTGCCTCATAAATTGGAGGTCCAAGCTTAATTTTCTGAAAGATTGAATGTTTTTTTCTTGATTTATATTTACTATCAACCTTACCCCAAAACATCCACCTATGTAGTTTCCGGGGTTTTCAGATAATCAAAATTTTTATGTTACACACAATGTTTATAAAAATAAATGGATATTTATTGATTGATAAAATTTCATCAAAAAACAAAAAACGATTTCTATTATTAAAAAAAACATGCAAACGCTCCTAGTCGAAGAATCAAATTCCAAAAAAAATTTTTATAATTACTACGATTCAAAAAATGTACTAGAAGAAAACATAGGTGACAAAAGAGAAGATTATTCAATAGAGGATTTCGATACAAAAGAAGATGTTGTGTCTATTCATACCGATTCAGATTATTCTTTGCCTAGTGACGAAGAAGAATTCGATACAAGCGATGGTGGTGATAATAGTAATAATATTAATAATAATAATGATGATAATAGACAAAGGGCTATGCCAATTACTACTAGATCCGAGAAAGTTGAAGGTTTATCAAATTTATCAACAACTATATCTTCCAACACCAATAATAACAATAACAATAACAATAACAATAACATTAATGCTACAATTATTAACGAAACTGATCCTAACTTATCTTCTGCACCATCTAAAATAAATAAAGATAATACAATACAAAATTCTTCTTCAACATCAACATCATCACCAACATCAACATCGTCACCAACATTATTATCATCATCAACTTCATCAACCTCAACTTCATTATCATCAGCTTCGATTAATATCAAAAACAATAACAATCCTGCTATCATTACAAACACAAACGCTAATTTTAAAAAGAGGTATATAAATGATGGCAGTATTCCATATTCAAGGAATTGTGAGAGGCCATTTAAAGAACATTCTCAACATTTTCATTTTGACGATCGTGATAGCAGAGATCTTGTTTACAACAATGACATTTATGAATGGCCACCAAGATATCATCATGTTATGTCATATCAAAATTATGATCTTGATAGAGAATATGAACATGAACAACAATACATGGATGACAGGATGTCATTCCCGCCATCACCACCACTATCTCACCATATTCCTCATTATCATCATTATCCTCATCATCTTCATCCAGATATGCCACACAGATTTATTGACAGGATTGATTATATTGATTACGATGGAGGAAATGATAGAGGCATCGGCATTGGTGGTGGTCTAGAATCTGGTAATCGAACCTCATATATTATTAACGGTAATAATAATATGTCAAATACTGGAATAGGAGGCAATAGAATTAATAATTGTGGTAAGCCGTTGGCAAGACAACGATCACTGGAAAGTATCAATAAAGATGATCATTTATTACTATTACGTGAAAGAGACCAGTATATAAGAGAAGAAATATACCAACGAGACCGAGATTGGGATCCAAAACTGACATTATTACCACCACCGCCCTCACCATCACTTTATCATGATTTTACAAGAGATCATAATCATAGCAATGGCAGCAATTATAATAACATTAATGCTAATAATAATATTAGAAAACAACATGATGACCTGCAAAGACCTTTACCATTTCCTCCACGTGATAGTTTTAGAAAATTTGATGATAGAGCTCCTCCCATGATGTTGACTCATAGAACCGATGATGATTATTATTACGGTACAATGTCTGATCGATATTTAAGAGATTTAAGTGTTAGTGATTATGACAATGATATTTATTATTATAGAAATATGCAACAAGATAAACCAAGAATTGACTCAACAAGTAGAGAAGAAAGATCATTGAATGGATTGGTTGATTTTAGTAGTAGTATTAGTAATAGCAATAGTAAAAGTGGAACTTATTACATCAAAAACAACAGTAGTGATGGCGGCAGTGCTTGCAGTAATAATATTGGTAATAATAGAAATGGAGGGAACAATAGTAATATTGTTTATGGTAAGGATAGCACAAAAAATATTTTTTTTAATGAGAATCATTATCAAATACTGAAAAATCAAGATATGGAGACAGATACTACTGATTATTGCAATGTTAAAAATGATATCGTTAATAACGACAATATTAATAATTTAGGAATCAATCAATATTATCAAAAAATTAATAATAATGATAACGATAACAATAATAATTATTATTTAGGTAGTAGCAAATTTAACCAACAACAATATGATCAATACTATCATAACCGAAACTATCATCACCACCATCATTCATCACGCTATCCATCACATTATTATCCATCACAAAATCAACCACAAATGCCACCACCCTTTACGAACAAAAGAGAAGAACCTTCTTTACCATATCCTTGGGAACTATGTATATCCAGTAAAAATAAGATTTACTACTTCAATACTGAAACTCATGAAAGTCAATGGACATTTCCATCCGAAGATAATTATAAAAAGAATTACGATGACAACAATAACGACATATGGCCAATAGATTCAACTGAATGAATTGATAAATGAGTTTAAATTAAATGAGACGAATCTGATAAATGCACTATCATCCAATGAGCTTACAATGTCATCTAAAGATGCCATCATCATCAAAAAGTACACAAACAACATTTGATGAGTTTTATTTATTGCTTTATTATTATTATCATTTTGTAATTATAATTATTTAGTTTTAGAAAAAAAATCATATATTTGGACAAATTAAATATTCAGAATAAGCTTTATATTGCTAATTATATAACTAATAAATAATAAGTAGAATAATAATCAACTTTTGGATATTTTTTTATTATAGAGAACTTTACTACTTTAGATGTATTACATTTTACATCTATGCATTTGTATAATACACAATCATAATCACACTAGAATAATATACATATTTTATTTATTATTGCTAAAAATTGATAATTTTTTAAAAAAATTTATTTATCAAATTTTCATGTGATAAATTTTTTTTGGTCAATTAGTTAATGAAAGCAAATCAATTTTTTAAAGAAACTATAATAGCTAATACATTTTAATGCCATCTGTTTATTAGGAATAATGAATTTTATTTTCATATATACAATCATATATATAATGTACATAACAAAATCAACAGTAATAATTTGTAATTTGTGAATTATAGATTTATAGATTTGTATATATTATTAATTTTCTATCAAATAGACTAATAAAGATTTTATTAAGTTATCTCATTTTACATAAAAAAAAACAGTAATTAATTCAGTTAATGCTAAATAATCTATACGTAATAATTGTAAGTGAAAATAAAAATATGCTTCAAGAAAAGACCAAATGTTAAATTAGTTCCAACTGGCCATTTCTTATAAACATCATACAGGGAGATGACGATTAGACAAATTTAATATTGAAAATATATTAAACAACTCTCTTCACTTCAAAAAACCTTTTCAGGTAAAAAACTTGCCAGAAACAAACCGCAAATAAAACAAGAAATTGAAAAATAGACCACCATTTCACGCGATCGTTTGTACTTTCTGCAGCTAAAGATTTAAAAAAAATTATTTAAAGGTCATTATTAATTACAATCAACAATGACAATGATAATGACAATGAAGCGTGAAAGAATGGATTAACTCTATAATAACTTACTGTCTCGATGTGTTCTTTCTCGCATAACAATATATTCTTGTTCGTCTTTAATGGCCTCCAAACCATCAGCTAATTCACGAATTTCTTTTTCTAACGGATCGGTATGAATTGCTAATTTATCGGTTAATTAACACTGTTAATTAAAGTTATAAATGGAAATTTTATTTTTCATCATCGTATTCATTCAACTTACATCCATCATCATCAGGCATATAAAGAACTCCATGTATATTGAAACTGACAACTTTCTCAGTGACAGTTGACATCAAATTACTAAAACAATAAGTGTAACGTCCATCAAGCTTAGCTGTAAAACTAAAAGTTCCAGTTGATTGTTTAGTTGATGACTCCATTTCATTGTCGGCTGGATCCATTACCTAAAATTTACAGGTACGTTTTATTTAATCATTGGATCCATAAAAATCAAATAAATTCCTAATTTAAAAAAAAAAACTTTATGAAAACGACATGGTCAGTCGAGAATTACCAAGAAATCGATATCCATATTTCCACCATCACCCACTTGATAAGTTATGGTCATTTTGTCATCATGATGTAAATCTTCAAAAAAACATTCTTTGTCATTAGGAGCTATTGTTACAGTGTATGCTAAACAATGATTTATTATGAATAATATAGAAAATGCAATTAATAAGAAATAAGCCCTCATCTTATTTTTATGTGATTAAAGTTTTTTTTTATTTTTATTCGTAAAAAAATTTTTATATTTGTGATGATCAATCAGAAAAAAATTTTCTTTTCTAAAAAAAAATGAAGGTATTAACACAATCTAAAAGAAACAACTTTGGGAAAAAAAATTCTCCGAAAAATTCATCGAAAAATAAACCGTCGCCATCGCCAAAGATTAATAAAAATTCAAATACTATTAAAAATGTTAAAAATAAACCATCAACTGTTATAAAAAAAAAAATAAAATCAAATACAAATGTTATAAAAAATATTTCAATAAAAAAAATTGAAGAAAATCAAATAAATGATGGTGATGATGATGATGATGATGATGATGATGATGATGATGATGATGATGATAAAGATTTTCATGGATTTAAAATACATCGAGATGAAGATCAAGAATTAGATGAATATCCCGAAGAATATAGTAGTAGTAATTACAGTGATGATGATGAACATTATGAACTTGAAATTGAAAAAGATAGTGATTATGATGAAGATAGTGAAGAAAATAAAGACAACAAGGGGGATATTGAAGAAGATGAAAGTGTAATAATTGATATACCACCGTCCAAAAAATTTAAATCAGGTTATTATTATTATCATTATTATTGTAAGAAAAATTAATTGCACTTCTAATATATTCATCACCAATACCTTCATGCCAATATTGTATAACAATAGTTCAGAAAAATGATAAATTATCATCAAAGAAACCTGAATTTACTCCCACTACTGTTACTGCTGCCAAATCTAGTATTAAACTTGCTGCCAAATCTGCCAAATCTAATGCTAAAACTACCAATGCTAATTTTAATGCTACTCGTAGGAAAGGTTCGAAATTTGATGATGTTTTTAGAATGGAATTGCTTAAGAATTGGAATCTTGCTAGAAATATCAAACTTGGACCGGGAGAAAAGAAAAAACATCTGGAAAAATTATTTGAATTAATCCAAGGCAAGATCCCTGAAATTTTATTTAAACATGATACTTCACGTATCATTCAAACGTGTTTAAAATACGGTTCAAAAGAACAAAGAACCATTATTGCAAAAGAATTGGAGGGAAGATTTGTCGAAGCATCAAAGTATTTATATTCGAAATTTGTTATCCAAAAAATTTTAAAATATTGGTTAGTGAGGGGTTAAATTAATTTATTTCAAATTCATTATACATCCAATAAGTTAAATAAATTTTTTTTTTTTAATTATAAGCCCTGAATTCAAAGATAAGATTGTTTTAGAATTTAAAGGGTCAGTGGCAAAATTAATACAACATAGATTTGCACATGATGTTATATTAGAATTGTATGAATGTCTCAATGCCAAACAAAGAAATTCTTTGATCCATGAATTTTATGGACCGGAATTTAATTTATTCAAGGTAAAAAAATAATACAAATATGATTATTATAAACCATTTTACTTTTTTGAAATAAAATATATATTTTGAAAATTTTATAGGAAGCACAAAATAAATCGATGTCTGAACTTATAAATGAAGATCCTTCGAATAAAAAAAAAATTCTCAAAAATCTTTCATCAACAATTGAAAAAATGTTAAAAAAACCTGGATTGATTGGTCATATTATTTCACATAGAATTTTATTGGATTATTTTACTTGCGCAGATGATGACACGAATGACAATCAAGTCCAAGAAAAAATCCAAGTTATTGGTAAGCATATACCTGAAATTTTGCATACACAAAAAGGTTCGCGTGTAGCCATGTATTGTCTTGCTCATGGGACCGTTAAAGTAAGTATTTTAATCAATGCTATAATAATTATAATTATTACACACAAGCATACTAATGTAATATATAATGATAATGATAATGATAATGATAATGATAATGATAATGATAATAGCAACGTAAAATTATGTTACAAGCAATGAAAGAGTATGTCGGAAAGATAGCTTGTGAAGAATATGGTTACTTGGTGTTATTAAGAGCTTTTGATGTAGTTGATGACACTATCATTGTGTCAAAATATGTCATTGAGGTGTATATAGTTATAATTTTATTGTATTTTTAATTGATAATCAGGAAGTTACACTGTTATTAATTTATTTGATTTATACAATCATCAACTATTAAATCAATTGACAGAAAATTATCAAATCTGACGATATATTTAAACAAATAATGGAAAATAAATGGGGGCATCGTGTGATATTATATTTATTGGTAGGAAGATCCAAAATATATTTCAGTCATGAAATATTAAAATTACTTGGTGAAGGCGACGAAATAAGAAAAATTACAAGGTAAAGTGAAAAATAATATTTTTATCTATAATATCATCATCATCATCATAATTTAATATTTATTTTCTATACAATTTAATAACATCCAACAGTAAAAAAGATCCCATAATTCGAGCTAATGAACTTTGTAAACATATTTCACCAGCTTTAATCAACTATTCAAAACATAATACTGATAAGATGTTATCAAACCCATATGCAACCCAAATTCTATGTGAAACATTACTTCATGCTATATCCAGCATCGAAGAAAAGCAGCAGATATTTGAAAATATTGCAAAAATAGCAAGTAAGCCACCACCAAACATCGATTCATTTGGTGAAGCTGATAATGATGATCATATAATGTTATCATATGTAAATCGTACTTTAAAGGTTCTGGTACAAGGTCAGCACTGGAGAATAAATAAATCTCAGGAATGTAGTGAAAAGACAAATTCGAATTTTGCATCAATATTATTTAACGAAATTAAAGATTATATTAGTGTATATGCTCGTCATCCCTCAGCTTCATATGTGATATTGGCACTTTTAGAGGATTCAAAAGTTGGTAGTGAAGTGAAGAATATCTTGAAGAAGAATTTAGAAAATTTTCGAAGTTCAGCTTCAGGTGATAAAAATTCAGGAACTAGATTGATTTTGACTGAGTTAAATGAACTTCAAATAGAAGATATTGGTAATAATAAAGATGAATCGAACGAAAGCAAATCGATGAATAAAGGAAAAAAACGAAAGAAAAATGATTAATTATTCATTTATTTTATATATAAATTAATATTTTTTTACAAAAAAAATTAAATAAAAATTATCAATCAACAATAATCTATTTCTTCATCTCCACCGTTACTATTCAGTTTTCTATAATCACCGTAAGTGCGTGATTTTAATGGACCTTGTTTAATAAAATCGTAAACTATAGAAAACAAATCGCAAGAATTATTTGAAATTTTCTTAACGCCATTGTTCACCTCAATCCACACTGGTTTCGACCAAAATTTCAATAATAAACTTGAACAAATAACACAAACGCTTGATAACGCCATTATAAAACCTGATGTCATTGGATGTAGATAATATCCACCAAATGGTAAAAATATACCCATCGCTAATGGTATACACAATACATTGTACATCATTGACCAAATAAAATTTAATCGAATTCTATTAAACACTATTCTCATTAAATCTATCGAAGCCACTACATCCATCAAATCATTTCTCATCAATACAACATCAGATGTTTCATCGATCATGTTGTTGTTGTTATTATTATTATTAGAACTATTATCATTATCATTATCATTATCATTATCATTATGATTGTGATTATGATTATGATTATTTAATAAAGTTATACTTAAATCAGATATTGCTAATAATGGAGAATCTTCAAATCTATTATCGCCTACTACGGCAACAACGCTTTGAAATCCTTGATTAAATTGTAATTCTTGAATGATTTTAGTTTTTTCTTTCAATGTAAGATTTGAATAAATCTCATCTATTCCACATTGATTACCAATCGCTTGGGCTGTTGATGGCTGGTCACCTGTTACCATTATAACTGATATTCCCATATCATGCAATGCATGTATAACCAATTTCGCCTCATGTTTAAGTTTATCCGACAAGAAAATTATGCCTGAAAACGATTTATTGATTGACACCAATATCGATGTATGGCCCAGTGTTTCTTCACGTTCTTTGGTGGAAATAATAGAGTCTGGAATTTGAATTTGTTCAAGTTGAGTCAGGAATTTCAGATTGCCAATTGCAACGTTATAAGTTGTGGATGTCTGAGTAAATAAAATGTCACAACTTAATCCTAATTCGTTATGATATTCATAATTTGAAATTACAACATCGCCATCATTTATATTATCACGATTAAACAGTAATTGCTCGCTGTATTTCACAAGTGCCTTTCCTAACGGATGATCTGAAGAAGATGAAGCAGCTGATTCGGCCAATCTAACCAAGGTGAAAAATAATTCTATGTTCAAATCATTAGTAAATATTTCAAAATTTTTCACTTCGAATTGTCCTTTAGTAAGAATTCCTGTTTTAGTGAAGACAACCTTATTTACTTTATAGCCAACTTCTATTGAATTTGCTCCACCTTTAATCAAAATGCCATTTTCAACGCCGATACCTGTCCCAACCATTACAGCAGTAGGAGCGATCAGACTTAGGGAACATGGACATGCCACAATTATAACTGAAATACTTAATTTTAAACTTGTCATAAAATAACTATGCTCGCTGGAAAATAGTTTTGGCAATTGAGCTTCTGGCAAAGTATTAGCCAAAATAATCCAAACCAAGAACGTCAAGATTCCTAATACGATCATCAACGGTATTATGAATACGGATAACTTGTCAACAAAATTTTGAATTGGAGCTTTGGTTATTTGAGCCTCCTCGATCAATTTAATGATTTGTGATAGTGTGCAATTATTACCGACTCTTGTAACTTTCATTTCGAACATACCAAGCCCATTCAATGTACCACACAAGACTAAGTCGTTTTTTTCCTTTCTAGTCGGATATGATTCGCCTGTCACCATAGACTCATCGACAGTCGATTTACCGGTTATAATTATGCCATCAGCAGGAATCTTATCATTTGGCTTTATTCTTAAAATATCTCCCAATTGAATCAATTCTGTCGAGATGGTCTTTTCTACATATTCACAAGACAATTCTTTTGTTTCTTTTGTTCTAATACATTTGGTAACCAGTGTGGTAAATTCCGGCGTGAAAGACAAAAGTTTTGATAATGTTGTGACGGTTTTACTTTTCGCCAAACTTTCCAAGTATCTTCCCAAAGTAACAAAAGTGATCAACATTGACGAAGTATCGAAAAATACTGATGGCTTATAGGTTAAAGGATTATAAATCGAATAGAGCATGGTGAAACAACTGTACCAAAAAGAAATTGTTATGCTAATTGTGACCAATACGTCCATGTTAAAATTTTTATGTTTTAAAGCTTTGTAGGCTGACACGTAAAATCTTTTGCCAACACCAAATTGGACAGGTATAGCCAACATCAAAGAAGCCAAATTACCACTATAAATGCCTCTTAATACCTCCATGTTGACAATTTTAGAACCCCAATCAAAATCTGGTAAAATTGTACAGTTTAGGAAGATTGGAATACTGAGTGCAAGTGAAAAATAGAAGGCGTTACGCCATTCTAGAGTTTCTTTTTTACGAGATAAAAAATCCAATTTCTGAAGTTTCATTGTATTAGGAACTAAAGTTTTAAAACCAAAACCTTCAATTAATTCACAAATATCACGCACACCAATATATTGACTATCAAAATGTATTTTTGCGATTTTCGTGTTGTGATCAATTTCAACATCTGTTATCGAAGAAATTTTTTTCAATTCGTTTTCCAGGACTTCTATTGCTAATTCGGCTTGAATTCCGAATATTTTGATTTCAAGTAAATCTTTTCGGTTCTTTGGTATTATTGTAGCCTCGAATCCTATTTCATCAATCGATTGAATGATTCTTTCTGGTGAAACGATCATTGGATCATAATCGATTAAAGCATTCTCGGAAAGCAAAGAAATTTTTATAGATATTACGCCTTTGATTGATTTCAACAATTTTTCTATGGCATTTACGCATGATGGACAATTCATTCCATTGATTTGTAACTGGAAAATTTCACTAATCCCAGGACAAATATTATCATCGCATAACGATAGTGTTTCTTCAGAAAAATTAATCGTTTCGTCTTGATTTGTATAAACATGATTAACTGTTATTGTCTTTTCATTGTCATTATTATTGTTGTTAATGGAAAAAGTTTGGAAACCTGTTTTATGTAATTGTTCAATGATCTCATTGATTGAAATGATTTTTTCGTCGAAATCAATTCTAACGTTTGAATCCTGTAGGCTAACAAGTACATCGTGAATTCCAGATAAAGAATATAACCCTAAAGTGATAGAATGTATACATAAAATATTTTTTATTCCAATAATTGGTATTGTCATCCTTTTTAAATCCTTACAAATTAAATATTCATTATCAATATTACTGTTGCTGTTACTGTCACTGTTATAATATAAATTGTTTTTCTCATTTATTATATTAAATGCATGATTTTTCTGTGATTTTTCTTTAATTGGTGAATTATTTAAGGTGCTTGTGGGCGAATACAAATCAGATGGATCCGAGGAAGAAGAAGATATTTCAAAAGTATTATTGTTGTTATTATTGTTATTGTTGTTATTATTATTATTATTATTATTATTATTATTATTATTATATGGTAGTAAATTTGTAACTTTGTAACCAAAACTTTCGATTAATTCAATTATACTAGATTTGCTAATTTTACTTGGATCGTAAGCAATCATCGCATCTTTATTTTCTAAATTAATATTAACATTTGCAATTCCAGTTGTTAACTTTAATGAATTTGTCAACAATTCTACACATGATTCATTAATCATTCCATAAATTGGTATTACTAACATTATTAAGCATCCCGTTATTTGAGTAGTTTCGAATGACGAACGAACATGAGAACGGATAAGCGAAGAAGGAGAACTACAGATAATTGTATTTGACATGTTTATTTATTAAAAATTTTTTTTTTTTTTTGCTGTTTTTTAATTGAAATTGCTTGTTATATAAAAATTTTTTTTCACGCAAAAACAACATATGTATTGGTATGTACATACAATAATAAGTCAAAGATATTAAGGTTACTACACTGCCACTTTATTTATTTTTTCGCCTTGGTCTAAGCCCCGTTACTAATACTTAATTATAAAGATCATCATGTGTATTTTAATTTTTTAAATTTTTTAATTGCAAAAAAAAAACAATAATGATGATGATAATAATAATAATAATAAACTTCACTTCACTAACAAAAACCTTACTAATTCTATCAAAATATATCTACCAATCAAATTAAACAAAAACCAACTTTTACTACCGGATCCGCACCAAAACATTCCAACACTGTTACCACCATGGCTTCTCAGTTCTTGTACTTGAGAATAAGCCAGTAAATCTGGACTATTAGTCTGTCCCAATCCACCAATGACGTTCTTAGTTGCCAAAATTTTTAAATTTCTTTTGATTAGATCTGGTGTTAATTTACTACCAGCATCTTCAAAATAATCTATTAATAATGCTATAACACCTGTTACATAAGGAGTCGAAAATGATGTACCCGATCTCAAAAAGTCCTTATCTAAAGTCAAAGTAACGGATGATACGAAGTCTCCTGGCGCAAACAAATCAACACATCTTCCATAATTCGAAAAATTAGCAATATGGTCATTGATATCAGTTGCACCGACTGTTATCACACTACTGGCACTTGCGGGCGAAGTATTGCATGCATCTATTCCTATACCATATTTGTTGCCATTTCCAGCTGCTACCTATTAAATAAATATTTAGATTTTTATTTTCGTGTTGAATTTTTTGTAAATCTCGACCGTTTTGTTTCGAGAACAAACTTTACCTACCACCATAACAATTCCTTGATTAACAATATCATTGATTACAATATTCAAAGCTCGACTATATTCTGTTCCCAAAGATAAACTGACGAACAAAGTAGAATCATATTAAAATCACACACATATATAAATATAGGTGAATAAACGTTACTGTACTGTACTTTGTGATAGTTGGTGTTCTATTATTCTTTGACTGATGAGCGCGAAGCACATATTCTAATCCGTAAAGTACATCGCTTAATGATCCTATACCTTGAGCATCAAGTGACTAACAAAAAAAAAAAAACAAAATATCCACATAAAATGTTGACGTATACGTGTACAAACACTTTTTTTCTCATTAATATAATCTATCACATACTTTGACAGCAACTAAATTGACTCGTTTTGCAACACCGTAAGTTTTACTACCAATTATTCCTGTCAATTATTTATTATTATTACCGTTGTTTTTTTAAAAATAGTTATATTTCACCATCAAAGTTTTGAATAAAAAAACCTGCTACAAAAGTTCCATGACCATTCTCGTCTTTATCTGGAGATTCACTAATAGTGTTTTTACCCCATCTTGCTCGACCTTCGAATTCTGGATTGTTAATGTCAATTCCTCTATTCAATACGATATAATGTATTTTGTAATTATGTACAGTATATCGTGAAACCTCAAAGGTTTTCATTACAAAAGATTCACTTACGTGTCAATTACATATATATCTATGCCTTCTCCACCTGAAAGTATGCAAGAGTAATTTTTTGTTAGTGGTAAGTTTCTTTGATCTATTCTATCCAATCCCTAAAATAGTAATATTATCAGCATTGACAATAATATTATTAATATTTAATATTATAATTATTGGTATTATTTATTTACCCAACTATCAATACCAGTTTGCACATAAATTTTTCTTTGATTATTTTTTAGAAATTGTGCAGATGCCTTATTTTCTTCATGATCAACAACTTGATAACGATTTCGATTATAATAACGATAACTTTTATCATCAAAATCATTATGAATTTTTACCACATGATCTTCTACAATAAGCCAAGGTTTTTCATCATTATCTCTACCAGGTTGAGAGCTTGGATCATTATTATCGTCGTTGTTGTTGATGAATTCCATATCGAAATTTCCAGGTAAAACATATAAATTTTCGCTAAAAGTGATCAATTTACCAACATTAGAGTATTTTGATCGTAATTTATTTAATAAATCTAAAGATGGTCTTGATCGAAATATTAATAAATATTGTTTTTGAGATATTTGTTGAGAAATAATAATTTCGATCATAAAACTAAAAATTATCATCAAATAATATAAATTTTGTGGTTTTCGTGCCATTTTGAGAAATTATTTTACTTCTTTCTCGTTTTCATTTTTTATTATATACGTTAAGTGGGGAAAATATCATAATAATTGAATCATATATGAATTTATAATATTTAATAATTAGCTTATTTTTATGTCATTATTTTACAATAAATAAAAAAAAAAGAAAAAAAAAAAATTCAAAATATATTACAAATTCATTATTTTAATGAAGTTTTACTATTGTTGATAGATGTAGTGGTAGTAGTACTACTACTGCTACTACTTGTAGCATTATTATTGTCATTATTATTATCCATTTCTTGACTAATCTTACGATCTGTGTATCTCTCATTAATATTAATATCATCATCATCATCATCGTCATCAACAACATCGTTTTTACCACCCATTTTTTCATGTACAACAATTCCTAAAGGTGTTTCAACTTTTTGATAATCTGAATGAATAATATTTGATGGTGATGACGATGACCTTTTATAAAAGAGGAAACCGACAAAAACGCTTAATATAATTCCAACGATTAATCCACCCACTAAAATACCAACATCTCTTTCTGTTGGGATGGAAGATGATTTTTCACCAATTGTCTCGTAATAACTTTTATTATTTACATTTATTGTTCCCCACATTCCTTCGTAGCAAAAATCATTTATACTACAAAAATAATAAATAATTCCAGTTTGATTGAGTGTGAGTGTGTAAGTGTTTAATGACGTTGATGCATTTGTCATCGTTGAATTCATTAATCCTGATTGGACTTTTTTGATTTATTATAATGAAAAAGATATATAATTAATTGATTAATTAATTAAAATAAGATGTACGTAAATAAGTAAATATTCATAGAATGAAATTTAAAGAAAAGATTTGAGATTTACAAGCATTTGATTTCTTGGATTTAAAACAAGATCCAGCTGGTCCATCAGATTGAACAACATTAAATGGACCATTAGTAAATACAAAAACGACCTAAGCATGTATAATGTGGAAAAATATATCATTAATATATAAAATAATAATAAATTCTAATAAATAAAAGATATTCTAATAAAATATTACCGTATCTCCTATACGAGAATTTGTAATATTTTGAGGACTAAATGTCAACTTTCCATTGGTTCTTCCTACTTTAATAGTGATATAATCGTTAAGTATATCCGAGTTTCCCACACCTTTAACACCAATAATTATCATATTAAATAAAAAAATCCATGATAAAATCGTTATTATAACATTAATTTTTGATAACATGATCATTTTTTATTATCAAGAAAGAATATATATTTCATTAAAAATTTAAATAATTATTTTGAAGAGAGAAAATTTTTGATAAAGGAAATGAAAATGGCTGTACGAAAAATATAAAAAATTTAAAGAGTGGCTCAGATTTCTATTTATATAAAAAAAATTTTAAGTTAATATATAAGCCCTAAATTTATATTTGTTTGTTTATAATAAATAAATAATTAAAAAAATCAAAGCAAAAAAGAAAAATTCGGCTCTTTCTTTAATACATATGCGTACATATGTTATACATATAATTCAAGTAATTATTTTTTAGCTTCTGCAATTTCTCACTTTCAGGATTATTCTATTCGGATGTAATTTCCTCGCTAGTTTCGATTGGTAATTTTGCCTTCAACGACACTTTGTTCCTTTAAATCAAATATTCTACGCGTTTGCAAGTTCATAGTATGTGTGAAAATTGATGAAGTTCTCTCGTAAAGTTAATTTTTAAAATTATTATAATTCGTAGAAAATGATTTGCCTTCTGTCCACATGTATAAATGAATTAACGTCGTCGTCATCATTATCTTTTCAACAAATAATTTTATTTTTATTAGGGAACCTTTTTTATCACATTAAATAGCTTCTTCTAATGTCTCAAATTATGCCAATAGCTCACAAAAAGCCTCCTATCCCAGACATTAAAATCAACTTCAAGAGACTTGGCTTGCGTGCCATACTAGTCGTGTGACATGTTTTTTTAAAATATCTCATTATTTTTATAAAAACTCAAACTCCATTGTTAAAGTAAAACGAAATTGCTCCATTAAAGCTTTCTAATGAGTACCTTTCATATCGAAAGGTCTTCTCTACATAAATCCACGACTATTCAAAATGGTGTTACTTTTTCGCTTCAAAGTTGAGCTTATTTGCTTTAAAAGACTTGAGAAGGTGTAAAATACTCTTAGCTTTCATACAATCATTGCTTTATGGGGAGTGTTGGTTAAGAAGTTTTAGAGAGATCCACAAAAAACGGTTTTATAAACGTTTTAATAATAGTTATTTCTTTACCATTCAACAAAAAATTTTTAAATAATCAGTAATGGTAATACAGTTTTTTTTAATAGTATTATTTACTTTTATAAATAATAGATTATACTTTTATATTATAAAAACATTGTTATTTTTATATATATTTAGGAATGTAATGATTAAATTAAAAGGTATTCAATAACATTGGCAGAGTGTTATTAATGAATGTATCATATATATAAGTTAAAGGAAAGGAGAATGATTTTTGATTAAAGTTTCATTAATGATTGAGCAATATAATGTTTTTATTTTTATATATATTATATATAAATAAATTTTCATTCAATTCAAACTCGATTCCTATTGAAACAAGTTATATCAAAAACCAAAAAATCAATCAAGCGAAAAGCTGTCAATGATAAATAGAGAGAGATTCACATTAAAAATAGAATGTATTAATAAATATGGATTTTTTTTTTTGATAGAAAAAAATATACCATATGCAAAATCACCTAAAAGCAAAACCAAAAAACTAAAGTAATTATCTCCGCTTATCTTTATTTTATTTTTTAGAAAAATGCAAAATTTGTCCGTGGTACTGATCATTTATGTTCTTCAAGTAGACTTTGTAAAAATTTCCAAAAGTTTGTGCAGCTGTTCAAGAAAAAGATATGAACTGGACTGGGGGGATTCCTTAAAGATAATGACCTTGGACCTGCCATTCAAAATGCTGCTAAAAGAATGACCAATTGGATAACCAAACAGTACTTTATCATGTAATCAATTTCCTTTCAACACAAGTGAAGGTGCCTTCAAGTATATGTGACAATGTTTCCAAGTTGTAACAGTTACCAATAACCAAATATCTCTGATACCACAAATGAACCTGTCATAAATACTGTCCGAAATTCCCTCTACACGCAATATCGACCTCAAGGAATCAAGGAATGAATTGGACAAATAAAAAATGGCTAGGTCGACTTCTCTCCTCTTCTGCACAGTAGTATGGTACAAATTGCCAAAATCAAACCTTAAGAACTGACTCAAAAAATGTATCAAACACAAACTATTTCAAATTCACCAATTCCCTTTGCCTAAAAAAATACATTAACTCAATCATAAATCACATCTTTATCAACTTGTCTTTCACATATCATCAATAGGTTTTCTTCATCACATCCAGGATACTTCCTTCACCTTGCTACTTGTACTCGATACGTTCATTTGAAAATATAGGAGACGTTGCTCAAAATCAAGCTCTTGATTATGATTATGTAAAGGAATCATCTCTTCACGCTTTTGTCTGAATTCTCTTTCCAAAAAAAGCACATGTTAGTTGATGCTGATGCTTTATATTATATGTACAGATCAATTGAAAAAGTAGGAGTAAAAACCATTCAAAGATTCAGGAGAAGCTTGGTGGATGGAAGCATTTAGTATTAATAAATTAACCATTCAAAATCAAATCTTTGCTTACGTTTATACAACTGACGATCTTGAAGTGTCAGTTGGTCTACAGAAGAAGATTGATAGTAGTAATATTAGTGAAGAATGGTCACATATTGATTTGAATTGATGCAGAGTACTTGGACTGAACCCTGGAAGGAAGACCTGTTTGTAGCAGTGGGTCCAGATGAAAAGGTTTGTGGGTTGTTCAAACAAAGAGTACTAGAGCTTGGCAAGGTTTGTTCATGCTCATAAAAAGTGAGTTATGGCTAGAAAAAAATCAATATTTTCAGGCTGTTATTCAAGGTGAGCTATATTTAATTTATATTCAATTTACAGATAACAAAACAAGAAATCATATTACTTACATACTCCTCTTCACGTAACAAACTTAATAAAACTTGGTAATTTCAACATTTGGTCTATTAATATGGTTCTTACCTCTCTCGTATCTTATTTGACATAATCCTTGATTTCTATGGCGAGCGTCGTTGCTGCTATTTGCGATGGAAATCAAAAGATTAATAAATGCTAGGACAGTGGTAGCATTTGGTGATGGCAAATTCTGCACCAGGTTAAGTCAAGTAACTTTGCCATGAACCTTTTAAGTACTGCATGATCTATTCCTTGTATGGCGGGTGGTTTGATAAGCATCAAAAATTCTGGATCTGCCAGAATCTGCAATAAGACACTGGAGTCATTTGTTTACTTACAATGGGAGATTCCCTAAATGTATGTTCGTGTAACTTAATATGTACTACTATTGCTTTATTGTTTCAAATAATCACGACGAATCAATAATCAATACATTTTTTTGTGGATATTGTTGTGTTTGTGAAACGCCGGTTTCTGTCATTTTTGCGTTTTTGCATAAATATTTATTATTATATATTAAATTTTTTTTTTTAATCAATAATTTTTTTTTATTTTTTAAAAATGTTTAGCGAAAAATTGGAAAAAATAGAGCAATTTTCAACAATTAGATATAGTGATGTATTCGCGGATCAAATGAAAACATTGAACTTGCTAGAGATGAATTATAATATTTTCCAGCAAAAACTTGGGGAATTACAAGAAGCATACAAAGAATTGGATGAATATGAAATGAAATACAATGAATTAATTTCTTCTTCATCTTCAGTTGACCAATTAATGTTACAAATCATTAAAATGACAATAAAACATATTGACAAGTGTCATAAAGAATATTTGAATAAAAATAACAAAAATAGCAACTTTGGTAAAAAAAGTTTTATGATCTTTGAAGAATTTTATGAAAAGTTCATTTATCTCTTAAAAATTTTTGGTAATTGGATAAAGAGTATTATATATAAATTTGATGAATTATTCTTTAATAAAAGTTCGCCTCCACCTCCACCATCAAAAAGACAGAGTATATCTTCAATAAAGCCACTTCATATAAAGTTATTTAAAGAAAATTTGAAGCATCATAGAAATTACTCGAATTCTTCAACATCAACTACTCCAATAACCACAGCGACGACCGCATCATTTTCATTTTCATCTTTAGATGATGATTCTTTGCTTACGCCTACAACAACAGTAGATAACGATTTTTTGAATGACTACGATGGTTGCGATAATGATTACGACGATGAAATTATTTCACAAAATATATTTTATGTTGACATTGTTCTACAATCATTAAAATTGGAATATTTATTAAATTTAAGATTTTATAAAATATTTGTTGATCAAATGCTATTCCTACAAAATTTAGATTTAGGCCAGAATAATAACCATTCATTCACGAGTCTAATAGATGATATAACGGAAGGTTACAGGACGATAATTGATTCATTTGAATCGTTGGAAGACAAAATTTCCTGCGAAAAATGTCTCACGGATCAAGAAAGTGATTCTAGTTTTGTCAAAAATATTTTTCATAGAAATAAATTAGATAAACTAAAATATTCCAAGTTAACTTCTGAATTCGTTGGTTTCACGCCTGCTGATTGGTATCTGATGGTATTGATAGATGTGACTGGAAAATATATAAATGACAAAATAGATAGTTACTTGATTTTAGATGAGAGTGGTAGTTTCTCCTCTCAAGTAGAAGAAATTAAAGATTTATTTAATGAGATAGAAAGATTAAATTATCTAATTAAAGATTAATAATAAGGAGATAATTATAAGAAATTGTTTTGTATTGATTTTATTTTTACTTATTTATTTGTATTATTTGTATTTAATTTTTTTTTTTTTTTTTTTTTTTGAAAAATCTTGTAATTAGATATTTAAAAATAAATAAAAAAATTTTTAAAAAAAATTATCGAAATAACTTTTTTTTTAAAAAAGATTTTGTACACGCGAGTATGAAACACGCATATACGCAATGCTTGTGTGATACTTTTACTTTGTACTAAAATTTGATTGATTTCTACTTAGTTTAGGAAATAAGATTTCTTGATCGTTTTGAAATTCGAAATTTTTAAAATCAATATTTTCATTAATATTTTTCAAATCTAATTTTGCATCCTCAAAAGTTCTTTTATCCCTGCTGACTCCAAGTTTATCCAACAGTTGACCCATTTTTGCTGGCATGATTGGTAACAATAAGATTCCAGTAATTCTCAATGTTTCAATTGATAAAAATATCAATGTTGTCATACGTTTCTTTATAGTTAATGTGTCTTTAGTTTTCGTAGCGTTTAATTGTTTGACTAAATTCCATGGTTCGTAAAAATGAAAATATTTATTTGTCTAAATATAAAGAAATATTTTATTTAACATAAAATTAACGTATAATTATAATCGAATATTGACTTTAACTAGAAAAAAAAATAATTGCCTCTGAAATAATATCAAAAATCAATGTTATTGCTTTATTGGTTTCTAATTGATTATAATGTTTATCGACTTCATCTGATTATTTTTATAAATTAAAAATAACTATTATTCAATGATATTAAAACTAATATTGACGCTAATTATAATATCAACATTTACCTTTTAAATTTTTTAATTTATCAATTAAAGTATTATCGAGTTCATTTAAAGTGCCATCCTCTTCAAACGAATAAGGTGTAGTGGAATTTATAAATGATGATGGATTAATTGATTTATTGATAACACGTGACAACAAATTACCAAGTTGACCTGCCAAATCCTTTTTATATTTTGTTTCAAGATTATCAATTGAAAAATCTATAAAGATATTAAAAATTGTGTGTTTGAATATATATATATATATTTGTATATATTTGTATATGAATCTAAAAAATATTAATTTATATTACCTCCGTCGTCAACAATTCCACCATCCTTTAATAAATAATATCTTATAGCATCAACTCCATATTTATTTATTAGATCAAATGGATCCACCACATTTCCACGACTTTTAGACATTTTTTGTTTTTCCATTGTCCAATGAGAATGTGCTAAAATTTTCTTTGGCAATGGTAAATTAGCCGCTAATAAGAATGATGGCCAATATATTGCATGAAATCTATTTATAAGTTATATTAAAGAATTGTTATATTTAACGTATGTTAAATACATAAAATTATCATTATTATTATCATCATCATCATTCTCATAATTATTGGTACCTTAGAATATCTTTACCAACGACATGAATATCAGCAGGCCATTCATTATTATCTTGATTGGATAACCAAGGATAATTGGTGACGGTTAAATAATTGGTTAGCGCATCCAACCAAACATAAATTACTTGATCTTCATCGTCTGGTACGTTTATTCCCCAATTAGATCTTGATTTAGGTCTGGAAACTGACAAGTCATTCAATCCCATTTCTATCAATGCTTTAACTTCATTATATCTAGAATGTGGCACGATAACTTTTTTTTTTTTTTTTTTTTAAAAAAAAAGATTTTTTTTTTTAAATATAATGAGCGAGTATGAAGGCAACCATATAAAATTTTGCATTTTTGTTTTTTACAAATAATAATTTCAAACCCTCGGGATTTTTTTCCAACCATTCTAATAAATCATTTTGTAATTTCTTCATTGAAAACTTGTAATTTTGTTCAGTAGTCCATTCGACTGGTTGTCTTGATTCAATTGAAATCTATCAAATATATAACATATATATAGTATGCATTTTAAAATTATATATTTATTTAATTTTTAATTATTTAATATATTACCATGGAAGTTTCTTTAGTTTTAGGATCTTGGACTTCTTCAACTTGAGACGCATTATAAAATGTTTCATCAGATACAGAATACCACCCCTCATACTCTCCTTTATAAATATATCCATTTTTCATTAAACAATTCTACTAAATATTATTGTTAAAATTAACAATTAATCTCACTATATATTTCAAAAAGAAAATAGATTTCTATAACTTTACCCAAAAATGTTCAACTGCATATTTGTGATTTTGGTCAGTTGTTCTAATAAATGTTGTATAATTAATATGTGCCATATCAAATAATTTCTGCAAATAAATTAATAAAGAAATTAATAAAACAATTGGTGAATTGATAAATAATCAACATTATTTAGAACAAATCCAAATCACTCATTCATTACTTTAAAATTTTGCGAGACTCGATCACTAAAATTTTTAGGATCCACATTGTTTCTAATAGCTGCTTGATGAATCTAATTCCATAATATAACATTTTAATTATATGATTCCATAAGAATATAAATCAGTCATGCGGACGTATTATTTATTAATTGTATGCACCTTTGATCCATGTTCATCAGTCCCAGTACTTAAAAACACTTTTTTACCTTTTAATTCATAGTATCTTTTAAAGCTATCTGCTATAGTAGCAGTATATAAATGTCCTATATGTGGTGCTATTATTCATCTATTCATAAATTTAATGTACAATACATGTATATTTCATATATATACTTTTGAAATATCATTACAAAATTATTATTTGAACTTACAAGCATTCACATAAAATATAGGTGTAGTAATGTAAATTGGTTTCTCTTTATTATCATCATTGTCATTATTATTATTATTAACATTATTATTATTATTATTTCTATAACTTGTTGAAGTCGCAACTTTTCTAATTGAAATAATACTTTTGAAAAGAGATAATTTATGTCTATTACGAAATGGAAGCATTGCAAATATTTACTACTACTATTTAGTTTATAAAAAATTTTAGTGGATTATCAAATATTGCAGATCTTTGTTTAAAATTAAATTAATATATTACATTAAAACATAAATAATACAAAATACAAAGTATATAATACCAAAAAATAATAATACAAAAAATAAATAATATTATATTCGTCATTGTCTCCCACCTCCTTGTAATGTATAATTATTATAACCTTTATAACCTCTTTTATCCTGTGGATTATATCTTGAAGGTAAATCTTGACCATTATTACTATTATTATGTAGCACAGGCGGTGAAACAGGCGACAATAATAATGGTGGTGGCGGCACATTCACCGTATATGGTGAATTATGTTGTTGTTGTTGGTGAACATTTTCAGTGTATGGAGGTAGACTTGAAGTGGAAGGTGGTGGTTGTGGTTGAAAAGGGTAGAGTGAAGTGGAAGGTGGTGGTTGTGGTTGAAAAGAGTGGAGTGGAGGTGATGAGTACGTTGAAGTGGTGGTTGGATGATGGAATGATGTTGTGGCATTTGAAGTTAAATGTGGGCGTTGTTGTTGTTGGTATTGAGTGTGCTGCTGTTGCTGCCGCTGTTGTTGTAGTTGAGGATGAAGAGTGTTCATTTGTGAAGAAGCTGAATTGTTAAAACCAAGTTGTTGTAAATGTTGCATTTGTTGTGATGAATGTTTATTAATATTATTGATATTATTAGTATTTTGAACGTAATTATTTAAAGGATCACTTCCGCGTCTTTGATAAACGTCATCACCATCATCACCATCATCACCATCAAGATTTGGTAAAGTAGGTTGCATATTGATTTGATGACCTCCACTTCTTCCTTGATTCATTGATTCCCTCTTAATTCTTTCTAATCTTTGCTTCTTAAGAATTAAGTCAATTCTATATAAAATAAATATTTTTAGTGGTAAAAAAATCAATCAATAAATCAGTCGAATTAAAAATAAATTTTTTTATATATACCTTTTATCAATCAGATGACAACAATATTCCTTTAGATTTCCTCTAATTTTACATAATATAGGAATATAGACAAAGAATGCAACACCAAGTAATAACATTGATATGAAAAACATTAGTACAGTGAAAGCCATCACAGTCAATGCAAATAGAGTAGTGATGTTGCCATATTTATTGATATTAAACGAAAAGTCATTCATTCGGAGCACAGAGAATAATGTTACAGCATTAATAACCTGACGTGGTCCATCCGCAAACAATAATCGTTTCCATCCTATTATTTAAATATATTCAGTGTTAGTGAGGAAAAATATATATATTTCCACAAATAAAATCGTTAAAAGAACAAAGTTTTTTTTACCTTTAAATCTGAAAAAAACAAAAAATGCAAATTTATCTTGAAGCTCTTGAGAATCATTTATCGTTTGAAAGAAACACCAGTGAGCAAAACTGGTCAGGGTATAGTAACGATAAGATATTGTACTGGTGAAAGCATAGCTAATGTCATTCGAGGCAATTATTGCTCTTGATTTTCTAATTTCGAGATATAAAAGCAGGAATGAAAGCATGATTGAGCCAAGAAAAATCCATTTTGAAACATCAATGGGTATGGTGGGCCTAATTGTCCATTTACCAATAAACAAAAGTGCGCCAGCTGTCCATATATCTGCCAAGTATACCAATACTGATTTCAGCACTATAAAAAACACAAAAGAGTATTTTATTCTATTCGCAAACGTGTTTTTTTCAAATTCCGTGACGTCTAAATATTCAAATTTGTGGTCTCTAACTTTTTCCCTTTTCCATTTTTGCTTTGTCATTTTAATTATTATAATTTTATTTTTAAAAGTATAATTCTTTAAATCCTTGGTCGGATTTTGTTGTATTTTTTAAACAATGCGAAAAAAAAAAAGAGAAAATTATCCAAAAAAAAAAAATAAATGTTTAAAAATAGTAATCTGTTTTGCACACAAACCGCTATCTCAAACTTTAAATTAGCATCATTTTTGGTAATAGTGATAATATAATAATAAAGGGTTTTTTCCCTTGTTGATCAATTCAAATATGTGCCTATTGAAAATTACTTTTTTCAAAATAATTTCAAATTATGCAAATTATGATAATGAACTTTCAATTTCCTCAAGTATGCTTTTACACAACAAATATAAGAAAATTTGTATATGAGGCTTATTCGGAGAGCCAGTTGATATGATTCCAAAAGGAAAATAAAGCAAAGCATCATTACATAGATAGATGAGTGGGTAAAAATTTTTGGATGATTTTACTATTAATAGTAAGGATCAACATTGATAGTCGGATCATCGTAATTAGCCAATAAGATTGGTAAATTCATTAAAAACTCGAGAGTAACCTATTTATTATTCAAACAAAATTTTAACAATACTGCTTGCTGCGCATGACTTGGATTTAAAACAAATAATTTTATTTCCTTGATAATTTACTCAGCTTCAAGGACCCAATAGCAGCTACTGACTGACTTTACTTAACTTTGTTATAGTTTTTAATAATATTAGAACCTGCTTTAAGCATAGAATTTATTTTTACATTTGAATACATAGAACCTCTTTAACATAATTAAAATCGTTATTAATGACGTGGTAAATATGTTGGTTATATCAATCAGTTTGTGAAGTTTTTATTTAATAGCTTTTATGCGAATTATGAATTTAATTTCAGCAAGTAAAATACCAAACCATTTCTTTCTTTAGATGTATATAAGTAATCTCAAATGTTATTACAGGGCTCCGAATTCAATAATTATTGTTTATGTAACACTTGTTAACATGAAACTTTTTCCAGAATACGAAATATTGCTTCATTCTATGCAGTAGTTTCTTGGCATATAAGGCATGTGTTAACTGATAGCCCTGAGGAACTGTGGTTATCCTGCTAACCCTAAAAAAGTTGTGGCTCACGATCAGTTGCCAAAAATATGCTGATTAGTGGTTGGCTGGTCTAATAGTTTTCCGTTAATGCTGTTAATTCTGATCACTGATTTTCCATATCCAGTATATATGTCACCAACCCCCGATTCTATTCGGAAAATTTCGATGCTAATGGTAAAAATACATTTGGCCTTCTGGTAAGATTAATATTATGAGTGCGTATTTCATTGATGATACCATTAAGATATATTGATAGCATTGTTGTTGCATTGCCAATTCCTGATGAAATTGAACCAAAGGTAATTAAAAAGAGGAGTCGAAAGAAGAACAACAAGTATGAGTTGAATGGATTATTTAAATCCCATTTCTCTTCCAAGATACTTCATATCCGCTTTTGTGAACCATATCATATTCCATTCCATTTAGGATGATTTGGGTTCTTCCCACTTTTAAAATATTTAAAATGAAAAAAGGAACTCAGCACTTGAAAAATATTGCTAAAAATTTCTGTGAAGCCAAACAAAAAAAAAAAACTAAAAGATAATGAAATTGAGTGAGAAATTATTATTAATTATTATTTAATTTGAAAATATAAATAACTTAATGATTAATTAAATATTTCTTTTTTTAGGGACAAATGAAGAAGACTTTGAAGGAATGTATCAAACATAATAGTGAATCTTTATTTCAATTATTGACTAATAATGTGAAAAATTATAAAAAGGCTATTATTAATCTATCACGAAAATTCAGAGTACACAAAAATATATATTTTTGTCGCGTGTGATCTGCGGACAATTTTTAAAGTTTAATTAAAAAAATGGATAATTCTCAAATCCAAAAACCAAGTAATCGTACACCTTAATGAGAGCAGATTCAATCTGACGATTCAAAACTAATTGATTAATATTGAAAGAATTTTAAGTTTGCTGTCCCATTTAATTCATAATGCGACTGAAAGTAGTACTCACTATCAAAGTTTGGACCAAAATTTAGTTTTATCACAGAAACATATGAACAATTAAATAATACTAATTGTTCAAACTGAACCTGAAATTAGTCCATAATTATCAGGCGATAGGCCAAAACTAAAAGTTTCCAAAAATGTATATAATAATTAGGTAAATACAACACTCTCAAATTTTGGAATTGTAGTGGGATGGGAAGTAGCATTTAGTTAATTCCGTTTGTTTTACGTTTTATGGCCGAATTCGAATTAAATTTTTAGTCACACTTGTCGGTTAATTGTAAGCTTTTGTATTCAACGCTCGCCAATTAATTATTTCACGAACTTATTTAAAAATTTTCTTTGCTTACTGCCTCTTTCTTATACCTAGAGGCTTCGGCGATCCACAAGCACACTTTATGGTACGATTTACAATAAATAAATGGCTACTTTAGGAAGCAATAAAGGCATTCTAAAGTTTTCTTTGGCCGTTTAAAGTTCTTTTAACAGCCGTACGTTTACGACAATTGTTTTAACACAAGATGTGATAACGACTTTGGTTAATAAATGTCTACACTTTATATTTGGTTGATCGCATTTTTAACATCTTACATTTTACATTTTAACACTTCAAAAGAAAAACGTAAACAAAAACGTTTACACTTATAAAAAAACTTAAACAAAAATTAAACCTTTGCTTCTTTATCAAGCAAAAACTTTACCACATTACACTGATTAATCAACGTCATCCAAACATTTGCTTTCTTACTAAAGCAAATAACCAAAACCTCAGAGTTATATATGTTTAATTTTCGACCACAAAAATGTTTTATTAAGAGAAAAAGAATTGTTAAATTGTTAAATCGTGAAAAGGTTTTTACAGAACGGGTTTTTTGCGAAAGAAATAATGTAATAATATTTTTGCCCCGACCCTTATGAGTGGAACACTGAAATTAAATAATAAGTTATTATTAGCCAATTAGCTAGTTAGTTTTGTCTGGTCGTCTTTTCAAAAATTGAAAATTTGAATTCTTTTGTGTAACGGTTTCTAAAGATTGCAATCGGATACCTCAACATGTGATCTAGTTACTACCAACATCTCGTATACAGGTAATTGCGAAGCATTTGTTTTGATCCAAATCATTGATATGAACTTCACTGGCGCTTATTCTCAATGATGAATGCCGTTTTTTAATAATTTATTGATAATAGAACTCTTATTATTTACCTCATGTACGAATTAGACTTAATGATATCATAGAGGAAGTTCCTTGATTATCAAAAGAATTGTGCAGGTGAGTTTGTACAGTTGAAAAGATTTTTAATTTGAGTTCCCATGCTTTGTGAATATATATTATCACTTCTTAAGTTAGAATAATTTGAATTAATAAAAGAAGGAAATTCATTACTAGCATCCTTTTCAGTGATTATTTGATGGAAAGATTACAATTTTGTCAGTGTTATTGTTATTATTGTGCTTTGTAAAACAAGGACATGGACATTATCAAAGGTAAACTGACAAGAGCCAACAGTTTCAGCCATCATGAACAAATTTGATGAAAAACGGAATATATATGAATTTTTTTTATAAGTATAGTAAGTAAGACTGAAATAAAAAAAAGAATTTAAATTTTTTTTAATAAAAACCCAAGTATGTGATTTACAATGTAGTAAGTTTAATTTTTGCGGAAGAGTTTATCAGGGATGGTATATACGGTGCAGATCATCTATAACAATTGGTCAACTTCAAAATATTAAAACAAAAAAAAATTATCTCATTTAACCGATAAGTTTTTATTGTTCATGACTCAAGCTTCAAAACTTTATCAGCTGGTTTTTTCTTAAACTGAAAATTGGCTGAGCGTTAGCATTTTGAATAATTTCTACAACATATATACATTTGATTTATTTATAAATAAAAGTTATTTAACGAACATATTGCATTAAAAGAAAATCATTACCAAATTTGGTCGTGAGATTCAAAATATTATTGTATTTTTGAGCATAACTATCAAAATTAAAAAATCTACAAAAGGAAAATTTGAGACAAATTTTTTGTTTAGATTAATAGACTCTCTTTTTAAAGCTGAAGTGAATGGTGGTGGTTTTTTAAAATCCAATGTATGAATCACATAATATTTCAAAATTTTTAACTTTTGAGTATAGATGATCCACACTGTAACATGTTATAAATGATTTGAGGGGTATATACCCTACTAAAAAATTATGCGAGAGATTATACATGCTCATTAATTATAATGTGCATTATTGAATATAGTTGCTCTAGTTTATGGACACAGAGTGATTTTGGGGAAACAAATGTTGACGGTGAAAAAGTCATGATCAAAAATGGACATATCAGAGCAGACTTTGTTCAATCAATATGTAAAATTTATTTTTATTACAATAAAAATAATAAAGGCTCTCTTTACCCATAAACTAGAGAGCATTACAATTCAAAAATGAGGATGATATCTCTCTTTTTCATGGAATAATTACATTACAAAAGGTATATATTTTCCTTTTACTATATGCCTGTAAGCTTTAATAGTTGCATAATATTATGGGCCCACCATAAACTTATGTAAGTAGTGTAATAATTATATAAATTTACATTAGGAAAATTTTCTTAATGATACCACAGATAATATAAAAAGGGAATTTAATAAGTGTAATATGATAATCAGGGATTAAGACTATACATGAAGTCAAAATA